TTAGATGTGAAAGTTACAAGGAATTTATTAGCCTCATATCTCAGGCTTTTTTTACAGTCCTAGCCATACGTACTCTACTGTGATCATAAATAATACATTAGTTAGCTATTCAAAGACCAACTACAGCATGCATTTATCTGTCTATCCATTGTATACATACATGCTACCCTGTCTAATGCAGACTGTGTACTGTATAAACACTATGTACTACAGTTCATATAGTATACATACATATTAATCTATACACAAATCTCACATTGGGTTATATATCCCATCATTAAATGCCCCACTGACTCTCTGTAAAAGGTTCCAGAGGATCTGGACCAAACTCCATTTCTCAACATCTTATTAAGCATTTATTAATAAACACCAACAAGAGGGATAACCTGGTAACTCAAACTATTAAAAATGGCTTTACTGAATCCTGAATAAAGTGTGTAACATTTAGGAGGATCTATTGGCAGAAAGTGAATAGAATATTCATAGGTATGTTTTCATTACTGTATAATCACTTTAAAATTAGAATGGTTGTGTTTTGTGTTACCTTAGAATGAGTTGTTATTATCTATTTATGATCTCAAATATGAAAGTTTCCCTAAAAGAGTTCAAGCCTTATTAACCTATGTGTATGTGTCTATAATACATATGTATCTTACAGTGTGTGTTCTTTATTAACCCATACAAAGAGCAACTAAACAGTGTATGTGATGTAAAGTTCTAAATAAGTTTATTTTATTTTGCCTGTAGCTGATAACTGGACCTATTTATAGTCCACTAAATCTAATCCAAGCCCTGCGATACTGTATCTGTCTTCCTGTTGTAGTATGGCGTCAGGGGGCATACTCTTCCTTATCCAAAAATAGACAGGCACACAGAAACATAATGTGGCGCTGTTCACTGAGTAACAGCCGGTCACGAGTCAGCCTAAAAACCACAAAATATAAATAAAAAGGTACAAATGATGAATAAACCCATTAGGGGGGGTCAGGAGGAGCAGTCGGATTTTGGTCCAGTTTGCGCTGGGAACTCCTGCTGACGTCAACGCGCTCCGCCTCTCACCGTGCGCTGCGCTATCCCTTTAAAGCAGACCTCAGCTGTACGATCCCTACCCGGCTGCTTGTGTGTGTTTGTGTGAGGAAAGGGAGCTCGACGCGGAGAGACACAGAGACCCGAGCGAGACGGACTGTCGCTGCACGGCAAAGGAAGCCATCAAACGGAATAATAAGCAGAATATAGAGAAGAAGAAGCCGATCGCGGACATCAGAGAGTCTCTCCGGCCGCTCAAGTTTCATGGTTGTTTCGAGAGGAAGCGACTGAGACTAACAGGGATTACAGAGCTCAGCCGGCTGCTCGGGAATTTCTCTGCAGACTCGGAGCTCCAAACTTATACGGATACAAAGACTATAAAGACTCCCGTGGACCTCAAGGAACAGGATACATATTTCTATTCGGACGCTGTGTTATTTCTGAAGCGTCCCTTTGAAGTACTTGAATGAACGGTGAGTGCAGAAGCAGCTGTGTGAACTGGGAGCATGTAAACGTCCAGTTGGCTGTGTTTGGGTTGTAAACAGGCAAGTTAGTGTTAATGAAAAAGTCCGTTTTAACACGATACCCCGCCGTGTGTCGAGGTATTTGATCATTAGATATACTGTGGGCTGTTCCATCAGGTCATCATGTTGATTTCAATCGGCTCCGTTCGGGGCAGCAATGAGTGAATTA